AGGAAAGTTGAACCCGTTTTATAATTGACTAAAGCAAAAACCAAGGTTGGCTTGTTGTCATTTGTGTAAGCGCTACTAAGATATTTTTAAAGTGTAGGACGTAAAAACCTATTAAATTTTGCAATCGTCCCTTTTTTCTTTCCCATGTTAGTAGCAAAAAATTTTTTCTTAAGCGTAACGTGTGCCTTTTATTATTATTATTATTATTATTATTATTATTATTATTATAATTCTTAATTTAGTCAGTGTAAGTAAATTCGAAGACTAAAGCCTTAAAGCACTTGCATTGAGGGTTATAAATCGGCGTTAGTTAAAACTCAACCCCATATTCAAAATGAAAAAAATATAAAAATAAAAGAAAAAAAATAAAGCAATTAGCAGAAATATATTCTACTGAGACCGAATGGTTTTCATCCCCAAAATCGCGAAAAAGACGAAAAAATTAAATTTTAATTTTATTTATATATTTATTTTTTTGAGGTGGGCAAGTATCGAGCCGCCGCTTTAGGACAGTGTGAGACTTTAACCCGCTAAAAACCACTTATACTCCAATCCTTACCTTATTGTATGGCTGCCTAGGGTTGCAGGTTTGTTGACGCTCTTCGTTTCTTTGCTCCTCCAGTATATTTGCGGCAAGCACTCCTGCTGCTTTCTCTTTTTTCTGGTCGCGTAGCTTATTTGCCAAGAGATTGTCAGGGAGAAGAAATTCCAATTTCCGTCTATAGTCTTTATCGTTCGTCGTTGTACTTCGGACAGACAAAGAACACATGTTCAGCGTCCTCGCTACAATTATAAAAGCTACATAATGGGTTTTGTTCAAATTTACACCTATGCAAACACATTCGGAAAAACCAATATCCGGTTAATAGTTGCGTTATGTAGAAGTCGATCTCACTGTGCCATGGTTTCGGGTTCGATATGAGTCGATGCGTGCACCTGTTTATGTTCCCCCTACTCCACCGACTTTGTCATTTCTCCGCCAAAAGCAATTTTTTTTCCCGTTTAGCCTCGTCAGCCCGCATGTTTTGCAATTTGTCTTGGTACACAATGATAAGTCAAAATTTTCTGCTTGAGTTGACTAGCTGTGCGTTCTCGCTTCTAATAGAAGTCCGTGAAAATATTGAAAACGCTTTTGCCGCTCCATTTTGGACCGGTAGAGTAGGGTCGATTACTTCCTCTGCCTTCTCTGACTTAAGGGTCGAGGAGGACGAAGTTTGTGTAGTCTTTTCTCATTGACCACTAGGATCTCTACGTCATCACTGATAAAGGTGGTGTCTATTTTCGACCCTTTTACTGCTGTTAAGAACGTCTCCTTGCGTCCATCTTTTAGGATTGTGACATTGTAGCACGGAAAACGCCTCCAACAGGCTGCGTCCTCTCAAATTGTAGGCCTTGCTACCCCACTCTTGGGTCCACACATTAAGGTTACCTGTAATTTCGCCTGATGGTCTGTTACGGTCATCTTCGACTGGTTCTTCTCACACGCGCGTCCAGCTTGAAATAGCGTAACAGTTGTAACAGCCTATGCCCTTTAACGAAGCCCATATGCCGCAGCTTATATCCAAGAATGTTGTAGATACAGATGCCAAGATTGCTGCCTTTTTGGTCGCATCTGTTACGCATGAGTAGTGTGTTAGTTTTCTATACGGTTCGTTTCGAAGTAACAGGTCCATCTTTTTATCGATGAGCGTTTGGTGAAGCAGGTCATGAGTTGCTCTCTCTGTAGTTGAGATTAATCTGCATTATACAGATTGGCGCCTTTTGTTAGCCACCGCCCTTTTAAATAGCTGACACAAGCCGCTTATGTGTCTGTTATTTATTTGTTTACTTCATACATTATACCGGAAGGTTAAAGGTTTGAATAATCATAAAATTATATTACAATTTATTTTTTTATATTCGTTGCATTTGGTTTGCATTTGTTCGTAATTTAATCTTGAAGCAACGTTACTCGAAAACCTTTGATTTCGCTCTGCTGAAAACAGCATATTTTCTTCAGCTTACATTACATGTTGCAGAACTATTCCCATGATGATGTTTTATCAATTCCATGACGACCAGTGCCACATTATGTTAATTCTATTATTCTATTTGTAATATTTATTCAGTACTTCGAACTTTCATTAAACTGAAATTCTGAGTTTTGTTGGCTGTGCCTGGCTGTCCGTATATTGTTTAAGTTAAAGTCTCTAGAGATACGAAACTAAAATTTCGTGCTTACAGTTTGCGATCATTTTAGGAGATAAGATTTAAAAATGCTCTTGACCTCCTCATTAAAATAGAATCAAAAACAGATTTATAGAATTTTTTTAAGGACATTTACTTGAAGCGATTGTAGTTCATACCCCAGACAATCTCTTTGGTAACCGTTTCATTAATTGTTGTAGAAGAAGGGTTTTCTGTGGCGTATTGTGCCTGGCGATGAAAACCGACAAATCCCAAGCACAAAAGATCGTGGGTTAGTTTAGGGGAGCCATCCACATCGAGACCGAAGCGGAATATTCATGATCGGGAAGTTTGGCAGTGCATATGGTGGGATCGGTTGGGATCGCTGTTAATTTCACAAATTGATCGTTGTCTGGTTACAAAAAACACTACTCGGAAATTATTAAAGTTGGAAGGCTAAAATGTTCCATATTTACTTGCTACTCCTTTGATCCAAAAATGGAACCAATCGGCCATAACCACATAAAGATACAAGTGATTAAATTTTCTTTTTTTTCACTTTTTTAATGTTTTATGCTTATTTATCATACAGCAAACAGGATCGAACGTTTAAAATTATTTTGTAGACTCCTTAGATGAAGATATATTATCTGCCTAAAAATGGATTAAATTTAAAGCGAATATGATAGAGGTTGCGATCAAGTTTTTCTTAATAATACCAGCGATATGGGTGTCAAATAAAAGAACTTCGAGAGTAGAATGCGAAAAATATAGTAGTGAGTATGCGAGATTCGGCCCTCGCCGTATATAACGTTCTTAATTGTTTTTTATATGGGAACATATATATAGTATATAAATATGTATATATAGTATATAAATTTATATATGTTTATATATATTATATATTAGATGCTTTACTTCCATTTGCGTTAAGCTGTAAATACTTTAATTGTGTGCGAGCAGTACGGACCTTTACATTACTATGCTTTTATTTAAAGGATGTTTATGCTTGTATAAGTTTTATGCATTACAGATCTGCAATGGATTTTTACTAAAATGTATTGTTTTTTTTTGTTTGTCAACAAACAACGAGATGAGCCAAAAGAGAGGCATTGAACGATTCGACCTAAACTGAATACAATTTCTTGTGAATTGTATTAGAAATCAAATGACAGACGACATAAAGCAATCATTTCGGAAGTTTTTCAAACTTTTATTTCTTTCGTTTATGAGAGAATTACAAAAGCTAATATATACGTACGTGTCATCATTGCCTAAATTTGGGTTTGGCCTTTTTTTTATTTTTTTCCTTTATAATGTTGCAAGTACATTTTGACTGATAAAATACGGAAGATAATACTTTAGAATATGTTGAATAAAATTTTCATGACCTTTTCAGTTTTCCTTCGGCGTTTAACACGTGCCATTGAAATAGAGAAAAGTTTGTTATTGTTTTTCAATTATTTTTCTTATCATCTTTGCATTTGACTCGCTTAAAGTAAGTATGTGTTAAACGATGTTAAATGTGCTGCTGCTGGCGGAGAGAGTTTTCAGACCCTATTTAAAAATAGTTTAATGTATGTACGCTTGCCCGTCTTACTCATTTGTTAATAGATTTCAATTTATTTACGTTCCCTTCAATATATGGCATATTATAATTAATATAAGTTCGCACATATGGCTTTATTAGTGTCAAATCGGTTTTAAACTTGTGTTAAATATTATCGTATGCATGCAGATGTTTTAGAGTAGCTATCTTTTCTAGTAATCAATGTAAAGCAGGCACACAAAACATATATATCTATCCAGCTACCCAGCCATACTCCTCCTTTGCAAAAACGTTTATACGTTTGTTGCGTTTTTATTGCTTTTATTTTTTTTTTTTCTGCTTTACCACCATATATGCATCCGCATGATGATATATTCGTGGATTTGTATACATATAGTTGAATATAAATATGAATATGTGTGACGGTTTGTCAAAATATCTCTTTATTTGTTCATTTGTCATACATCATGATCTGTGAGTACATATATATATATATATATATATATATATATATATATACCGTACACAAATACAGATACTTATAATACTCACACAAACATCGATCTTACTCTCGAAGCCAGCCAAAAACATACAATGAAGCAAAAAGTAAGCCGGCTACACTCTAGCGACAACAGGCAAACCAAACGACATGATAAAATTTATTGTTATGTATTCATATGCATAATGAAACGACCTTACCAACACATGCGCAAATAGAAACACAACACCGCACATCTCAAGACCATCAACAAACTCTACCCATCTATAGCTCTGCTGAAAATGTGCTTGATAAACCGTTTTTACTTACGATTATTACACTACCACTACAACTGTAGTGTTTGTAGTGTACCGATGTTGTTTTCTGGTTTTCTAAATTTCTGGTTTTCTTCTTTCCTTTTTTTTTTTTACACAATACGTACTCAAGCGAACGATCATTGTAGTTAGTGCTGCGCGTATAGAGTATAGTTGTAGTATTTGTATGTTTACTTAATGTTTATTTTTCCATCCACATATTTTTTTTTTTTTTTTTTTTTTTGTATTCTCTAAGTTTTGTACGTATACAGTACATATAATAATTTTTTTCTCAATTCTTTGTTTTCTTCCCATTTTTCCGAGTTCTTATTCTCTGGTCAAACTCATCGTACGATCGTTTCTTTTTTCAATTATGTTTTCTTTATCTCATTTCTCTACTTTTCTGTTTTTCTTTGCATTATGCTTTTTAGACGTTTTAGATTCAAGTTTGGAGTTTTGATTTGTGGATTTTTCAGTTTCAGTTTCATTTTCAGTTTGTGTTTATGCTTCGTCGTGTTAACATTGCATTAAATGTCTCCGTTTAAATTATCGGGTCGTTTCATTTAATATTTCAATCTTGTGCAACAATGTTAAAGATGAAATCGTGATAAAGAAAGGAAGAAATGGTGCGCAAAGTTTTTATTTTGCATTAACGTGAAGAATTATATTATATAGACGAAGCGCAACTTGATTTATAAGATAACACGTATAGATCTTATCATTATTATAAGTCTCTCTGAAAAGTTCTTTCATCTATGAGGAAAACTTTTTTGTTTTTGTTTTTTTTTTAATCGCAAAAATTTTAATTTGAGCTGAGAAGTAACCGTAAACTTATCAGTTATCATATATATCTGCACATCTAATAAAGCAAAAAGTATAATTTACGTTGTTTATGCCATCAGTGAGTTAAATTTAAGGTAACAAATATCGAGGAAATATTCCTTAAGCCTCTTTAAGCTTATATATGGATAGATAAGAAGAAAAATTAATTTCGCGATCATTTTTTGATATTATTGAATAGTGTTACTCGAAAAAGGATAGATATGCAAACTTTATCATTTAGTTTGTGATATCTAGGGACTATCACACAAAAATTCCCCCAATATTCGTGGTCGGTTATTCGCGACATAATGCGGAGTCTATATGATCATAACTAATCTAATCATACCAGCATCTCTCCATTTGGTTCATATATTAATTTAAGGAAACATAAGTTTATGCAAGCCGAAAACCAATAAACGATCAGAAAGAAGGCAGGAAAGAGAAATGGATAGAGAGGGTGTGGCCGTAGCCTAGTGGATGTGCCCAATCGATAAGTGTTATGCCCTTTTTACCGGCTGAGCACTCACTAGAGCTACGATTAAAGTAAACTCCACCACGCAAGAGCTTCTAACTCGTGAACACGAATTCTGTAGTCGCGATTTTTATCTACCAGGCTACCTATGCGAATCAGAAACTTGAATATGTGATTATCGATAAGGCACATCCTTTCTGAAAGTCATTTAAGACTTTAGAACGAAAACAGCCTCCATCAGCCTTCAGACAAGTTTTGGTAAATGAAGTTACAATGGTAAAATTCGTCCAAGGCCTCTTACTTTTTTTACTTTGTAATGATAAACTTAAGTGTTCCACTTTGCTTCTAAATCACTTAACGTATAACATTATTGTGATCTTTTTTTCGTCTTTTCTTTTATTGCCTGAAATGATTGCTTAAATAATTACAAAAATTACATTAAACAAATAAGAAAATTATATTTAGTGGGGGCCGAATCTCGCATACCCACTACTATGTTTTTCGCATTCTACTCTCCAAGTTCTTTTATTTGATACCCATATCGCTGGTATTATTAAAAAAAAATTAATCGCGATCTCTATCATATTCGCTTTAAAATTAATCCATTTTTAGGCAGATAATATATATATTCATCTAAGGAGTCTACAAAATAGCTTTAAACGTTCGGTCCTGTTTGCTGTATGATAAATAAGCATAAAACATTAAAAAAGTGAAAAAAAGAAAATTTAATCACTTGTATCTTTATGTGGTTATGGCCGATTGGTTCCATTTTTGGACCAAAAGAGTAGAAAGTAAATATGGAACAGTTCAGCCTTCCAACTTTAATAATTTCCAAGTAACAAACAAAAATTCGAAAATTGCTGTTAGAAAAAACGGAGTTGCGTTCAATTCACTCTCCACTGCGGGCTTCTGCTCCGACCGATTTGGTCCATTTTCAGAGAGTTCCAATGTTTCTACCAAGTTTGAAGACGTTAGAGTGCCAGGAACACACACCAGATATACAAACGGAGAGACATGGCTAAATCAACTCAGAATTTCATGCTGATCAAGAATATATATATATACTTTATAGGGTCTCTGAAGCTTCCTTTTGAATGTTATATACATTATGGAAAAAAGATCAGCACAATAATAATATTTGAAGGGGTTATTAAGCATAACTTTAGGTACTAGGAAAGGAAAAGTTTTCAGGGCTTATTAAAGTATAGCAACACCGTAGGCATTCTCTGGAGACATCTTTAGTTCAAGGTGTTCTGCGGCAAGTATTGTAAATGGTTCAAATTTGAATTAAAAAAAAAAAAAAATTTAATTCATATCCCTGTGCCGAGTGAAGTACGTAGGGCTCTTTGAAAATATTAATTTTTTGATTATTTTATGGGTGCTTGTCTGCCCCCTTAAGGCTGATAGTTTTTAAATCTTTTCATTTTTTTATAGAAATTTAGACAAATTACTTTATTTTTAACACACACACACACACAGAAAAGGCGACGTTGCGACTCTAATTGGTTGAATATGGTTTGCTTTTGAAAGAAATTAAACAAAAGGAGCAAAAATAAGTGAAAGGTTTAATGCAGGTGTTTATGCAAACACTGGTTAACTTGACTTTGATTTCGGATACGAAGAATAGCAATGCAATAAGAAAGGGTTAAAAACGTTATTTATGCTTTAAGACAAATAATTAATATCGATAAGATCGAACTAATACATAAAAATTATAAATTATATTTTTAATTGGGGGCGTGACAATTGTACGATCGCAACTCCTTTTACACTGATCATTTAGATCGCCTTTGCGAAATCTTTGTCTCTTAGCATAAGTTGCAGTTTTTTTTTTTCCTTATATTTCTACTTTAGAGGATGATTGCTCCAATCTTTATCTGAGATAAATATTTGATAAAAATTCCACGACTGTAATAATAAATGATTAACGAATGCAGATATAGAATCAATTCAAAAAAAAAAGCTATAAAGGGAATTAAAAACGTTACATACTATTTATTATCTTGGATAGTGGATACGTTCAGAAGAGGCAAGCTTTCAGTACCTATAGCTTCAGCAAAGGCTTTAACTTCGTTATTACTTTGAACAGCGGTATATAAGAAGAAAAATATTTGAAGTTATGATAAGCATTGTGAATGCCGGATGATTTTACTAAGACAATGTTTTTGTCGACTTTGCGTGACTTTGTAATAGGTGCTTGCATGTATTTTGATCAGCGACATCTATCGACTAAAATAATAAACTAATGCGAAGTATCAATGTACACACAAGTTTGCCATTTAGTATTATTGAGTTATTCAGTGTATGCAGACGCTAATCGTTCAACCCACTTTATTATTTTTGTTATTTGATGTAAAGAAATTTAAGGCTCAACATCGCTATATCATTGCTTGCGAGTGAAAATAAGAAGACTTTTTCTTTGGCGTATTGTGCTTGGCGATGTAGAATGAGTCTACTACGACAATTCGAAAGGCAAGGGCAAGTCATGGATTAGTCTAGGTGAGCCATCCACATCGACACCGAGGCGGATTATTCATGGCCGCAAAGTTTGTCTGTGGATATGGTGATATCAGCAAGGTGTAGCGTATTATGAGTTGCTAAGATCGAATGAAACTATTATTGCAGATATCTATCGACATTAATTTAACAAATTAAATGATGTGTGGTTGCAAAAAATATAGGCAATAGCGCTTAACAGGCGTAAGGTCATCCTTTTGCATGCGAACGTTCGAACACACGTTGCAAGACTTATTAAGAATACACTGTTGCAGTTCACATGGCAAGTTCTGCCACTCCCATCGCATTCATCAGGCAAAATGCTTTCTGTTTACCACTTGTTCAGGTCGATGTAGTATGGCTTGGCTGGCATGCTGTCATTCGAAATGCTTAAGAAATACGCAAATGATTCGACAATTGGATCGCCATCAAACCGATATCGTTCTTTCTCACACAGTATTGGCGTGTTCCGCAGCAAGTTTTGATTACTATATTGACTAAAATATATGCAAGCATCGCATTCGACTTATTTTACCGGCAAAGTGTTGTTGGACGACAAGGCTAAATGAAATTAGAATTGCAAGTAGGCTAACAATTTTGATAATAGATAACATACTGATTTCATGAGTGACCGCATGAGTACCCAAGTAGGCAAAGGATCGCGGTCAACAGCTCAATGATCGTGGGTTCAAATCTCAAGGGCACAAGTGTTTGCAATACAGGCGAGCACATGACTTAAGTTATCTGGCAAGCTTTACGTACATACTTTGTAAATTTGTTTACATATAAATATATAGACGATAAATAAATAAATAGAATATATTGATTTACAAGAGAATAAAAGGAGTATAATTAGTAGTAGACTTGTAACTTTTAATATTAGGGATAAAATATTTGATGTTTAATGTTGAAAATTATAAATGTTTTTTTGTTTCTTTCCTACTTACAGCGTACGATCTAAAATCCTTAAAAAAAAATGATACCCAAACTTATAACGCTATTGCACACGGTGCTAAGTGCATTGTTGCAATCCACTTTAGCCTTACATACAAATAATGCGGCAAATTTTGAACTGATTGATAACGATTCACGTTTCATTTCATACCAGGGTAAGTTTTCATTTAGCTGTAACTTTCAATGCGAACGCAAATAAATACGTGTTATACATAAGCATATTAAATATTATGACTTCATTACACAATTATTTCATTATATACATACTTTGATTGTTTTTTATTGTGAGTATGTTGCGAATGTAATGGAGCGAGCAAACAAATAAAAATAAGTTGGGCATGGCTTAAGGTGAATCTTGGATGCACACTTTCAAAATTAGGCTTTTACTTTTGAAGTGTGTGTGTGTGTGTGTGGCGTTGGGACCGGGAGTCGATAATGATGATGATAATTTTTGGTTGAATGTTTTTGCGAGCATGTATCAATAAAATTTCATTTACCCTGTGGACTTTATTCCACGTTATTTCCGCCAAGGTTCAATTTTGTTATACTTTGACTTTTCGGGACTTTCAGTAAATCAGAAGCTAGTTGCACTGACTCGGTAATTGAAGAATGTATGTGTGTGCACGTTAAGAGGTCTTTGAAATATCAATTTTCGAAAGTAAGGTAAAAGGTTGCCATCGAGTAATGCTGACCATTAAATACATTTTCCCACTTCGGCTAATACAAATGTTTATCTATCTACTTCTATAAAAGGAGAAAAATTATATATTATTGCAGTGTAAATGCTTACTTTCTATGAGAAACTTTTATGTAGGGAGTGTCCTAAGAAAATAGATATATGGGCTCTAAACTTACTACTTTCATTTTATATAGCAAAGCTTATTTTAGACCAATTTCCACCATTAAAAATAAAAACTTCGTCTTTGTTGCCAATAAAATGCTTGTTTTTTTTTTTTTTTTAAGAAACTGTATATGAGACCGAATTCAAAATATGATTCCATTCGATCCAAATCTTCCGCATTTATTTAATAAGTCAAAATAATATTTGCTAACGATTTTTGTCGCAAATTTTTTCTCGCTCGGTGGCTTTTTCGAAATAAGTCGTTATATGGGAAACGATCATAGAAATGATCTAATGCAATCTATACTCAATAGCAAGCATATCACTTTGCACAAATATATCGGGAGTGACAAGCGGATTCATAATATAGCAGGTGGGTATATTATGAGTCTTTCTGGGTGTCGCATACGTCCGCACAAATTTAATATACTCATATTGCAAGTGATATAGACGGTAATTAGTATACGTATAATTTCTTCGTTGGTGGGTAGAAAAGTAGCACAATAAGCTGAGAGCGCTTCAGTCAAGAACTATTACATCTTATGGGTTTGCATGCATTTATTAATTATTATGTTTTCGCGCACACTTTTATAAAAGCCATATGTATTTAATTGTATGTATATAAAAACATGATCGTGAACTTTATAAAGTTCTGCTTTGATTACTTTTTTTACATACATACATACATACATACATACATACATACATGAACATGCATATGCAGGCACATTTATATGGACAATTCCCTTTACAGCGCACACGCGGTTGTACAACAAGACGACGTGTATACTGAACAGATTAAAAATTGAAATAATGTTCAAAAATTTATAAACGTTGAATTTATTCTCAATGTTTCGGTATTTTGAATGCTCCGAAAAACACGTGTTTAATAAATGAAGTTTTTTGCGTGAAGAACGGACCAAAAATAATAATTCGTTTTTCTTTTTTCATTTTTCATTATTTTCATTTTATTGTTTAATACGGTCCTCGTGTTAATGTTCACTTAAAGATGATGAAAATGTACTTTCGCTTGGCTTTTCGTTTTGTCTGCTTTTACGATATTATACGTCTTTCGTTTATACCAAAGAGAATATATATCAAGAGAAGCTAAGCAGGGCGTAGCTTCGGGACTTATGATCTCACTGTTAACGTAACAGATGTAACGCTATCATCGAGGACAGCCATTTGATTGCTTGCTCTTCTTTGGTTCGTTCTTGTTATCTTGTTATAGGTAATAAGTCGATTTATGACGTTACACTATATATTAATATGTTTTCGTTCCATCACTTCTATCAACTCGCGTGGAAGGTTTCTAAGCTTTGCATTCGTCAAATGCTGAAATAAATTTCATCGAAAATTTTGCATAGGCCTTTAAGTCTGCCGTTGCGTGTATATCGAAGCATAAAGAGACGGAAGTCATCTGCAGAACTGTTTGCTTTTCTGTTTTTAACTGAGTTCAATTAGAAAGCAATGGCGCTGAAGCTACAGAAATGATTGAGTTGACTTCGAATGGACAGCTTATAGTAGCTATGAAAAAGCGAAACAGTAGCTCGTGAGATTTCATGAAAAAAATGCCAGTCCAGTGAGGACGACGAACGTTTTGGAGCTCCGTTTGATAGGATTGGAAGGAAATAATCCACTGTTACGCATTTTTGAAGCTTGTTGAAACTGTCGCATCTGAACAGTATTCAGCGCTTAAGGAAAGGAGAGATTTACGGGAAAAAGGAGCTCGAATACTGGATTTTCTTCATATTATGACGTCAAGACGTCAAGTCGGTCTAGAAACATCTGCCTGTTGCAACGTATTCTCCATACCTAACGCGAAAACGAATCGACGGCTATTTCTCTTTCGATGATGTCTGCAAGCTACGCGATAAGAGAAATTTGAATTTTATTAAAACAATACTCGGAATGCATTGGTACATCCATTATTTTAAAAATAATCTTGGCGCGTCTTGTTATTATTGATTTCTGATTATGTAATTTCTTGTCTCAGTATAGAGATGACGTTAGCACATGCACATTGTTTCCCATAAAATTATTTACATACCATATATACGGATATATGTTTAATTGTTGCACGTGCATATATTTTCTGTGTTTGCGATGTCGGCTCCAATTTCCAAATGTATGACGACACATAATTTCGGTCGGTTACTTACTATTACTTTTAGCTTTCAGAGGCTTGCTAGGTACTCGGTTAGTCAGCTAACCTCGTATAATGTACTCACACCTCAATCTAAATTTTTATTTCAGTGTACTCGCGGTGTATTAATTCGAAATTTTAGCAAAATATAAAATAGATCTTATATCATCGGTAAGCCAATTAGAAATTGTAAATAGAAAAGGTTGGCAATATTTTTTTGTATAAAAGACATTGTCGCGTGCAGAGTGCTTTGCGGATAAAGAAATATTAGGAGAAGATTTCTTCTTTTTTTTTTTTGTTCATCTCGTAGATATTAGGTGCCGTCGAGATTACACTCATATAATGGACTTTCCAACAAAGAATTTTTAATTTTTTCTATAATAGAAATTAAATTTTATTCGATTTACTTTGATTTTACCATAAAATTTGTTGGGCGACTGTTTTTATTTTGTTGCCTTCAAGGTGTGTTTTTACTTATGCACTGTGCAAGGGACTAACGCATTAAGCAAAAGCCTATATATGTATAACTATAACGTTATTGTAAGTTTACATCAAATAGTTTTTATAAAAAAACAATTAAGAAAATTATATTCGGCTGGGGCTAAAGCTCGCACACCCACTGCCTTTGCAATCATTTATTTAAACTTTATTTTTCACCTTTTGCTTTGCTAAAAGGTATTATTTAAAAAAAGATATTTAGGATGACGTGACATCAGTTGACGAATGCCAAAAATAATTTTAAACATTCTATCTTGTTCTGCTTACTTTATACGATCCAATAAGTTTAAAATAAAATGAATAAGGGAAGAAAAAAAAAATTCAAAATCACTTATCACTTTGCGTGGGCATGGCCGATTTTTTCCATTTTTGCACATTTCCCGTAAACTAAATGTAGAAAACCTCCGGCTCTTATCTTTCATAATTTGTGAGTAACAGCAAAAAAAAACTCGCAACTTTTTGCTTAAAGAAAGAGAGAGCTGCGTTAAGTTTACGCCTCACTGCAATTTTGTGCCGTAATCAATTTGATCCATTTTCAATGCCAACATAAGTCCAGAAACTTGCAACGATTCTACTAAATTTGAAATCGATATCTTCAGTTTGCGGCAAAGAGAGTGTCAAACCATACACACGGACAGACAGACATACAGTCGGAGAGACATGTCTTGCCTTAAACGGCCCAGTTAACCGGAATACTTAAATGTATGTAAGTTCAATATATAAGAAATGGAATTCGAAATGATTTATAACATTGGTGGTATATATGTTATTAGCATTAACTATAGTTTGAATGTGGGTTCATTTTAAGTTTTCCTAGTTGTAAGCTGCAAGTAAATTTATCAAAAAGTTTTACAATTGTACCCTATTAAGTATGTAAAGAGATATGTGCAGCAAACAATATGATATGAGATAAATCGATTTATTTTAATTAGACTAAACGATTTAAAAACAATTTTGAAATCATTTCTGCCTAACAATTTGATGAAAGTTAGATTGAATCTTCAAATGGGAAACTCAATGCGTTAATATATTTTATATCAATTGCTCCTCCCATAAAGCCTTATGTTCACAAAATTCGTTACATTTAACATTTTAGCTTGTTTAAGTTTTGAAAAGAAAAAAAAAAAAAAAATTAAATTTCTAAAATTTGTTTCTTTATAGATCTCATGGTTACTGCGAAACGATTCAATGAACCTGACGTCACATCGTATTCGGAAATGTTATTCGATGTAGCCAGAAATCAGTTACTAGTTGGTGCTAGGTAAGTAAATGACGAATAATTATTGTAAATAAAATCTCTCTCTGTTGTATAATAATTGTAAGCTTAAATAAATAAAACTTAAATAGAGGAAGTGTATATACATATACATAGGTATGTTAAGTGATTTTCCAATAAAGTTTAGTTTCGTATATTTTAATGCACCGCTCTATGATCAAGCAGTGTGCAGAATTGAAATATTTTTATAATTTGAAAATAATGATGGAAGCATTCATTATCTTATCTTGAAATAAGAAAAGCATTAGTGTTTGCATAATTGTTTATTTGTCTGCTTCTTATTTGTATCTTTTCTATGTCTCTCTACTTTGTTTAGGTATCATTGTAAACAACTTTTAAACAAACTTTTCGTTTACGTTTCGCTTGTAATACTCGTTGGTAGAAAAATTTCTGACGAATCGAGCTAAAAAGAGGCTTTGAAATCGAAACTGCTTGAGTGAGAAGATGAAATATGTAATGCAAACTTGAAAAAGGGAAATTGCTGAGAAGCAAAACTTTTCTTGAACTGCATTCGCCTAGCGGTAAACGCTTAAGGTGTTGCTATAATTTGCATTAAATCGCTTCTTACAACGCTTCTGTTCTTCTTCGGCTTCCGAACTCCTAAAACGAGTATTTTTAATCATATGAAAGATCTTTTCTGTCGTATAAAATGTGCATTGGGCATACAGTTCGAATTGTAGAGCGCACTCTCTTGTGTTTTTTGTACAATTGAAAATCTTCATTGCCCAAATGATTTAATCGAATTTTTAATAAAATTCGAGTAGAGATAAAAGTTTCTTTGCAATCTATATATATATATATATATATATATACATATATATATAATAAGTTAACAAATATAAGTTTAAGTTTCTTAGCTTAGGAGTATTATTAAACACTTGCATTCGACATTTCAAGGAAATTTTTGGAATTATATTTCAAAGCCCTTCTCACTCATTTCTTATCATTGATATTTGTTACAAAATGTTTAAAAATAAATCTAAATATATGTAAACAGATGGGGAACAAAAATAAACCCTTTGCGTCATATAATAACAAAAATCATAATAATAATAATAATAATAATAATAATTTATTTAGAGTAAACAAACATTTATTAATGATATGATAACAGTGGACGTTTTCTCAACGACAGCAATACACATACTTGCTTAAATTGTAACAAGGCATATAAACAAGTGTCAAAACCTTTTTGTCGCTTATCTTATAGTTTTGTGTCTTAAAGCGTAATTAAAGAATAAAAAAATCGTTTCATGCCCTTAGGCCCTGTATGCGCCATTAGTCGTTCATGCCGCTTTAAAGTGCATGCAAAGCATAAAAAAAAATAAAAAATATTGGTTAAAATCGATATATTACATGCATCGCTAATTACCCTTACAAGCGCTAGCGCTAGTTAACACTGTTTGACGTTGCCCTTAAAATACATAGAAAATTTTTATTTTGTTGGATAATAAGCATACCTATCCTCACGATAGGATCCATGAAAAATAGTAATGTACAATCTGGTTTTAAGGTTGACTACTACTTCGCCCTCACGAATAATTGCTTATTATTTACAAATATATCAAGGTTGATTATAAATTTTAAAGAGCTGAGGTAACCCGGCTTGGTCAAGTCTTAGTTCAATTTATTTACCATAAGATTTTAAATTATTGATAAAAATGCAACTGAAGTTTTCCTTTCAGGTTACTTTACATTACAAGAAAGAATAAAGTCGGGCAAGGCGGACCATTAAATACCCTACAACAAATTGCGTAATATTACGGATCAATTTCGATTACGACATGCTAAAACTTATGTTTTTCTGCTCTACAAAGGATCAATTTTCATGAAAATCCTTATTAGAGCAGGACCTAAAAAATACGCCGAGATGGTCCAAATGTGACGCAGTTAATTTTTTTATGTTAAATTACTATTATGATGAACTACATTATATGATTATATGAACTACAATTCTCGCTATATGTAAGAGGCGGTTCAAAAATTGCCCCAGCTGGTCCAAAGTCTCCATACTAATTTAAAATGCCCAAATACTACTACTTAGCCACTTTTTTGCCGAGAAATTTTGAAAATTAAAATTTTTTTCCAAATAATGGCTTTTCAGAATAGGGCGTTATATGGGGTGTGGTCGAAATAGTAGACCGATCCAAACCACATTCAATAGCGTTCGTCTTTGGGCCAAAACACTTCACCGTACCAAATGACCTGTAGTTTGAAGACAAATTTACATGGTCAGACGGACGGACGGGCTTAGATCAGTTAAGATTATGATTCTGAATCGATCGGTACAATTAAATGTGCGTCTGACTTTCCAATTTCATTAATTGGCTGCGATGCCGATCAACGAGAACCTGCGCTGACAAATAAGTGCAATCTCTAGCAAAAAGTCGGTGTCAATCGGTGTACCAGTTTTCAGATTACTCCTACCAAAGTTACGTTTCATTTTTTTAAAATCTTTAAAATTATATTTTAAAGTGAAATACGTGGAGAATTTATGACAAATTAATACAAATGTTGTTTTCTAAAAAATAATTATTTGGTTGTTAAAAATTTAATTTTAAAATTGATTGCAAATGTTACCGTACGTAGTATTCCCTTTTAAAGTTGTTCGCAACAAAATCATTATATATATCATCATTTCACATAATTTTGCATTTAAAAACATACAGTTTTATCGCTTTATGGTGCTTACACACTTTCCTTACAATATAAGCTACACTCAGTGCAATGATGATGTATGAGTTGAAAACGTCATTTATATATGTATATATATATATATATCTATATTGATATATATGTATATAAATTTAATAATTGCTCTAAAACATATATAACTTATTAAAATTAAAAGAGAAAATTGAATTTGTTAAGTTTATATTATATGTTATAACTGTGCACAGGTGTTTAAAGATATATACATGAATTTGTTAACATTATGCTATGTGGCGCTATATAGGTAAAGTTTATAAATGATCCAGTTTGAAACAGTTTGCATCAGTCCATTAGCTTAATTATTTTTAAGCGATTTTTTTCGATTATCAAAAACTTCTACTTATCTACTAATTACAACAAACATTATTTTTTTATTATTTATTATTGTCTAAAAAGTATCGGGCCTGCAAGAAAATTCTAATATTAACTCGATTTATGCAATTCTTAATTCTATTGTTGTTGCGGCGGCAACTTAAATAAAATCATTGCTATGTAAGCGCCGCGGCAGCAGCAGCACGAAAGATAACAGTAACGGTCCTAGTACGATTAAAATCGGCAACGAAAAATATCAGTGACAAAACGATGATGTAAGGAGCGGTTTTATTATTGAAAAACTAAGTTTGAAAAATTAATTTATACGGAATGCAATTAAAACATATCTTACTATTGTATTGTTTACATAGACAATGACCTAACATTGGTATACGTAAATGTTTATATATAAAAGAGACCAGTCAGAGTGTATTTATGAGCCTGTGTATATCAGAGTCTGTAAGCAATCACTGTGGAGTTGCCAAATGTTTAATCTACAACTAACTAATGTTATCTCAATTATTAGACTTTATATTAATCAATCGTTTATGAAGCTACCCACTACATAGGTATACCATTATACTGTATAAATTAATTTAAATGTTGGTTGGAAATATCTGTTAGCTACATTGAAATCGTGAACAAATAATACAAATTTTAAATTGTCGACTGTTAATTAATCATTAAATACTTTTTATTACATTTGTCTGTCAACATTTCCGTCAGTTTCAGGTCGGAATTATTCGATATAATAAAAGGTAGGTCCATCTTAAGCCTTTTTGCCTGTTACATAAAACCGCACTATCTTAATATAACCTCTACCACAATTAGTGTAGGGTATAATAATATAGATAAAGTGACTAGTTTTAGAAATTCTCAGATATAGAACTCAGCATTAAGCTTTCACCCAGCATTAAGGCATACATTTTATAAGATCCATAAAATCATAGGCTTTTTTAAAGACGTGTGATATCGTTAAAGTGTTATCTACCAAAATAGTGACGCAACAAACACTCACAATAATAAAAAATATATTGTAATCGACTGAAATTATATTTTTAGTAAAAAGAACAAATTTCTACTGCACAAATTTATTAATTAATTTCAGATCTGCCAACAATTTTACAATGCAAATATATATGTGTTAACAGAGCTGCTATCACACTTAAAACAGTTATTAGTCCCCCCAAGAGTATTGTCATATAAAAAATCATAAATTACAATCATTTTTGATCAAGCATTGTCTGTCAAAACCAACGAGAAATTAATATTCAAGTTTAAACTGTGGTCGTTGATAAAAGTCAATTGAATTTTAATTTTGTCCCACTATAGAACTCGTCATATTGTTCCATTGTGTTCTTAGTATTCGATGAAACGAATCAGAAAGAACCAAAAAATTTCCAATGGATACAGAATTTATGCGAATAGTTTGTGCGATCAATATAGGTGAAGTTGTATTTGATTCACTATTTTAATGTGTTTTTCTCTATTTTCTTAACGTGACTTTGGTCGCATCTACTGTGCCAGACTGTATGGCAGCAAATTCTCTCTTGCTTTTTCGTAGCATTTTCACACATTTGTATAATTATTTCATTTTCTTTTGTATTTCGATTATAGTGCGACGGTATAGGAAAGGAAAAGCAAAAGAGTGAAAAAGTTTACACATTCGTATCGTTCATGACCAATCATTTCTTTACACATGAAATACAGACTTATACACAAAATGCATACAATTCGATTGATAGCGATACGCTTTTAAAAATGTTAAAAAAAAAATAAAAAATAAAAAAAAAAAACAGTAAAAATGTAAATAAATGGTGTATGATGTATACTCAAGAATAAAGTGAATTGCTTGCATTGATTCATATTTGAAAAGTCCGCGTTTTTCCATAATGTATTGCTATAGTACACACAAAACATATTTTGTTCGAATGATTAGACAGACATCGTAATGAGACCTT